TTGGATGACTTAGGATGTATTGTGAAGTTCAAAATTTTTTTTTTTTGAATTTTGAGTCCATTCAAATGCATACTCCCAATCACCCGATTGGCAATCTGACTAAAAGTGATTGTGACCTCCTTATACTAAATATAAATAAAGGTCGTTAGTTTATAAAATAATCGCTGATTTGGGCCCATAGCCAAATGATTGTGACAATAACTCCTAAAGCTTCATTTTAATACCCAAAAGATGTATGGGACTTTTCTTTTTCACAGTCAGTCATTTTATCCATGCATGCATAGGAAAGATTTCCCACATTCATAATTAGAAACGTGGAATGAATGTAATCCATCCGATGGCATGTGCCTGGACATGGCACATGCCCATAGTGCGCATGGGCAATTTGTAAGGCCACATGACTTGTCTCAATATTTTTGGGTGGGATGTTGAAGAGAGTTTCATTCTATGCACACATTTTTGTCACTCATAAATGCTTGATAGAACTCTAATCGTGGCGTGAACCACAATGAAAAGGAATTTGACTTGCAAACAAAATTATGAGGAAAGATAGAAAGTGTAGTGATCATGTGGTTGATTCTCTTTTTTCTTTAATGTTGATCATGTATTTTATTCTTATTTCCAGTAAATGAACATTTCAAAGTATTGATTCTAAATTTTGGAGGAGTGATTTCACATTTTACGAGTAAGGGCACATAACGGGGTAGAATGCACGTGAGGCTCGGCTCCTTCTGCTCTTTCTCCTACTTCCCACGCGAGGCATGGATGCAACTGCAGAGTTACGTGCATCGCATGGCAATATGTTGCAACTCGCATTTGGAAGCATGAGAGAGAGAGATTTGGAGGTGGTTATGTGACGACCTAAAACTTTTAGAAAAAAAATTAAATTAAATTAAAAAAATTAATAATAATAATAATAATATTAATGGTGTTAACATAAATAAATAATTAGTTATAGTGTGATGATCTATATAAGTATTATGGTCTTTAGGAACCATCACCACTTTTGTTAACTTTTCCTTTCCTTTAGTGGACGTGGGCTTTAAACACGTTTCATGTGTAATATAATTGTCACACCTCATGTATGAGGTGTAACTTAATAAAATAATATAATAAGGTAGCTTAAGAATTTAAATAGGGGAGGCGATGACTCCCACCCTAGAAAATTTTTGAGATATTTCTCTCTCTAGTCGAAACGCAGTGAGCTCTTTCTCTCTTTAGCCGAATTTTTATCGGAAGCTCCCTCTTAAATATTTTAGGTAAGTGACTTCATTATCTTGAAAAATAATCCGTTCTTTCCAAAAATGAAAAGAAATAATTACTTCTGCTTATTATCATGAATTTTATGGGCGATAAATTTTATGTGCAAGCGACCTCATTATTTTGAAAAATAATCTTTTTAATAAAATTGTGATATTTTATCTCTGTTAGAAATCTTAAATGTTGTAAATTTTTAGAAAAATAAATTTATTTATTTTTCTTGTCTATTGTTAAAAAAATTTAGATATCGTAAAATTATTAGAAATAAATATGATATTCCTGTTTTTAGTAAAATTGCGAGATTTCTTTCTACTGTTTTTGAATATTTAGACATTGTAAATTTCATGTTCAAATGACTGCCTTATTATTTGAAAATTGATAGTTTGCAATTGATTATAGCGTTGTCTGTGAAATGTTTATTTGCGAATTAACATCCCATAAATTGTGATAATTCCATATTCTTGAATTTCTATAAGAGTTTTCTTATACATATTAGATTGGCAATTATGCTAGAATGTCTTTACGAACTACTACCTTTCTAAATTTGAGCCCAAAATATTTGACTGGTTATTTTTGGACTGTTATTGAAAGTGACTGTTATTAATGGTTTCAGTGAAATTTATATTAATAATTTCAGTGATATGTTGAGTACATGATATTGCTGCTTTCGGATGTTTAAAGAGATTTAGAAA